TTTCTAACGTGGTCTTCAGATGAGTGAATACACTCACAGCCCATGCCTTAAGGCAAAGGTGAGGATGATGGGTCCCGCACATGCTATCGGAGGTGGTCCAAGGCATCCTGCCAGCCCCCGGTTAATGCGTGTGTCTCGCGTCCCTCCACCCGCGCCCCCTCTGCTGGGTCAGTGCTGCTGCTGGTCCCCTTCTCTGGTTTCACCGGCCCCGTGCTCACTGGCCCACGTCTTTACCCTCCTGTCATGTGTTAATGTGGTTTTGCTCTGTGCCTAGTGTTGGATGGGTTGCTACTAAAGTGAGCCCGGGGAACATGCAGAACGTAGGGATTCTCTTGCACTGATTCTGTTGTCTTGGCAGATGTGTTCGAAAACTTCCTTGTAGTCATTAAACTATAAAGTAAAGTTTGAAATGCTTTGTGTGATATTAATACTGCTCTGACAACTGATTAAGAAAGATTAGCTTTCTTGTAAGAATTATCATAGTTCCTTCTATTTTCATATTTTGATATTTCTAGAAAATGTTTTACTCCATTAAAGATAAGCAATTTGTAATTTCTTTGTCATATAGCTCTGAAGCCTAGTTGAAATGAACATATTAGCTGATTTTAAACCTATTATCATTCTTTATTGTTCAAAAGAAATAAAAGTTAAAATGAATTTTATAAATGTTGAGTAAACTCAACCCGCTTTCAGTAACTTTTTTTAGCAGAGTAGGAGAGAACAACCTAGTTAAGGACCGTACCTACTTTTAAATCACACAAAGTAAATTTTCTTTTTCGTTTAAAATCTTTTTCCTCTTTGTATTTTCTTTATTGGAACAGTTGTTTGCCAGGAATAGATGCTTTTAGGAGTTACAACCCAGCCAAAACAAAGCACATCTGTGTTTATGATGCAATATTTATTAATATAGGTCATATTACTTTAATATATCAGTACCTGATGGGACTGTGAATTATTTAAAGTGAGCATCTGTGTGCTATTTTATGGTATTTGAAATAAAATGAATTTTTAATGTTCATATGTAATACGATCTGCCAAGATGATCCGGGTAAAAGTTTTCAAATCCAAATGGGGAATCAGCTGCGATTTCTTCATCGCTGTATAGAGTTGGGCACGAGACTGAAGTTGGACCCAACCTGCAGTTTTGTTTTCCTGCTTTAAAATGGGCTGCTTAGGTCTATATACACCGTGGCCTCTGGCATGCCTCCTGCACATGCCTCTTCAGTCTTTTTTGTTCTTTTCTGGAATTAAGACTCTCCGGAAATAAAGCCAGAAACATCAATCTATCTGACTCCACTCTCCCCTTAAGTTCCGTAGTTTTGTATAACAGACAACTCTAAGTCTTTTTAATGAAAAATTTTCACAAGGGAGTTATTAAGACCTAGAAATTGTGAATCATATCATCAAGCTTCAGAAAAAGTTCTTAATTTCATAAGTACATTAAGTGCTGATGTTACGGCCTAAGTCATTCAGCTCGCAGTTTGCTGCAGCTCGTCAGTGTGAGCCCTTACCCTGGCCGCCCTCTGGTCACTCTCGGCCCAGGCCCTAGGCCCCAGGCGCTGTTGCTGACTGAATGCTCACCAAGCCCTTGGATGCCAGGGGCTGCCAGGTCTCCGCCCACCTTCTCTCTCCTCACACCTGGGCTGACACGGCCTCAAAGGAAGGCAGAGCCTGCTAGGACGTTAGTTTGGGACACAGCTTTTCTTTGCAAGTAGTTATTTCCACTTTGCTGGACCCCATTGTAGCGAGTGGCTGTCTGTCGAGGTGATTACGAGCAGGGTTTCCTATAGGTCGTGCTACTTGACTATATCAGTGCCTGATGGGAATGGGAATTGAAGTGTGATTTTATTTCCAAACGCACATCTGCCTTTTGTAACAGCAGTAAAAACAATTATTTATATGTCCTAGCTGGGTGCTGCATTTGAGTTACAAACTTTAAAAGCTTCAAGGAGAATCCCTTCAGCTGGAGAGATGAAGGGATTCATCTTGCTTTCTATTTTCACTCCTAAAATTTCCAACGAGTACATCCTGCATGTAACCAAAAAATGTAAATAGTCCGAGCTGGACCGACCTCAGGGGGATCCTACCTAATCCACGGCTGTGACTCCTTCCAAGCGATGTATTGAGCTGTCATGCAGTTTGCCAGTCAGGTCCCTGAGGGGTTGAGGGCAGGGAAAGACTGGACCCATCACTGCGTTCTCAGAACAGAGCAGCCGCGCCCAGGGCCGGGGCCAGGCGGTGTGTCCTGCTGGCACGGGAGGCGTCTGATTGACACACGCATCGTCCTCCTCGCTTTGTGTGAGGACTGTGCGGAGGGTGTAGCGATAAGGCACATGTTTAGATTATAATACTCACTTTTAAAAGATGTTCTATCATAAAGCTAAAACCTGTTCATTGTGGAACATTTGGAAAATACAGAGAAATGTGAAAGAAGGAAATTTAAAAGTACCATCTCGCGGTATAATTATTTAGTGGATTTCCTCTGGCCTTTTCTGTTCATATAGTTTTTTCACAAAAAGTGTAATTGTTGCTGGTGCTCATTTCCCAGGAGACAGTGACCGAGAGCGTTGCGTGTGTGACCTGCTCAGTGTTCACCACGGTTGAGCCCGTTCTCTTCTAGTGATGGTTCTGAGATCACAGAGACTCCAGGGTCCAAACATGGGAAACTGGAGACTTCCACTCTGGATAAATGCTGCTTAAGTCATACACATAAGAATAGTTTAAAAGTACCCTATCTAATAAAAGCCTACTATGCAAATTGTCCCCTCGGGCGGTAGTTGGACTCCTTCGACCACTCATTATGACATGCACTGGCCACCAGGGGGCAGCGCAGAACATGGCGGGCATCTGTTGCAGGGCGCTGGCAGCGGGCGGCAGTGGAGGCACTGCCAGCCCCAATGGGCCCCGACAAGAGCTGGACCACGGCCGGATGGTGGAGCGGGTGAGCGGCAGTGCCAGGCCAAGGCGGGTGCGAGCAGGGGCCCAATCACCCCGCAGATGGTGACCAGCAGCGGGGCGGGGGTGGGGGGAGGGCGCGCGACTGGCTCCCAGACACTGAGGGAGCTGGGCAGGGGGGGCCCCCCCCGGCCCTGATCAATTGCCCCGCAGGCGGGATGGTGGAGCAGGTGAGGGAGTGGCACCAGGCCAAGGTGGGGTGCCAGGCGGCACTGTGGGGATGTGAGGCTGCAGGCGTGAGATGGGGCCTGATCTCTGCAGGCCACCCCGAGGGACCCCACCTGTGCACGAATTTGTGCACCAAGCCTCTGGTATCTAAATAATTTTAAAAGTAAAGCTTTTGAGTTCTGTGGAATTTTCCCCTCTCATATGACAAGCCAATTTATTTAGAGATTATCAAAAATATTTCAAAAGTAGCATTTAAACCAGGAATAATATTTGTATACTGTTGCTATTCACTTTTATTAGGCAAATATGTATTCAATTACACATTCACACAATCACCCTTTCCCATCGCACTTGAGGTCACAGATCTAAGGCATTGTTTGCAAGCGGCTTTGATAATGGGCATTCAAAACAGTGGTGAATGCTCACAGTGCTTGTTCCCCGCAGGAGACAACAGAAAGCAGGCAGGCCCCCTCCCCCTCCCCTGAAGGTATTTCCCCCGGAGCTTCCACAGCTTAACTCAGATGCCCCCCAGCGAGGGCGTGTGAGTAAGTGTTCTCTCTATTGCTACAGAAGTAGGTGTGCGTGTGGCAATAAAAGCAGGAACAGGGGAGAAAAAGGACTCCTGCCGGGTTTGGGAACCGAGTGACTCCCCGGGGCGCCTGCTGACAGTGAGTCATTAGCCAGCACTGTCCACTCTGCACTGTCCATCCAGCTGGCTTACAAAGGCCCACGGGAACCCAGCTCGCGTCCTCTGCCCGGAAGAGTACCTCCTCTGCCCGTGAACTTGTGTGTGTCTTTGCCAGAAAATGAACAAACAGGAAGTGCCTTCCGTGTTCCTTTAGCGCGGACACCCGGAGCTGACGTCGTGCCCAGATGCACGTGCATTTGCGTTCGTGTCCGCTCAGCACCGAGTGTCCGCAGGAGCTTTTGCTTCGTCCGCGGAAGCCCCGCTGGCAGAGCAGCGTTGGTTCAGTTACCCGCCTGTCTGCGGGCCTCTGCTCACTGTCCGCCGTCGTAAATATCGGAGCCTCCAAGTGGTCCTGAGAGGATGGACAGGGATGACAGTTTTCCTTAAAAACCACCTGAATAAAAGCAGACGCAGCGGCGCCTCGTCGCAGGAACCTGGGCGCAGACTTGGCCAGGGCGGGGCTGCAGGCGGCCGCGGCGTCCCCAGCTCCCGGCGCGGTGCTTGCCACGCAGTAAACGCTTCAAGTTGACTGATGTTGAATCAACTTGAAAAGTCCTGAGCTCCTCAGAACTGGGAGGAACACGGAGCATTTGTGTTGGCAGGAGAGCGACGCAGGCCCGGGAGACGCGGAGGCCGCTCAGCAGCCTGTCGCAAGCACAGTTCTTTGAAGTCTGTGTTTTATCTCAAAAACTCATACAGATTTTGAATTCTGCTTTATATTAGGAATGTTTGCTCTATCACGAAAGTATTTTAAATGCTATCATAAAGTGCGATCCTTCCAGAAAAGGCTCTGTGTGTGTCCCGAAGAGGCCTGGCCGGCACACCTCCAGGCTGCTTGCATCGCTTCTGAGAAATACAAATGCCCGGTCAATTACATTCTGTTTAAGGCCTGTTGATATGCCGATGGCATCCACATTTCTGTCTCCTGCCTTTACCTTCCTCCCGGATGCGTCATCTCAGATAATGACAGCTCTGTGCCTCCAGCTGATGGGCCAACAGTTGTCGTCATCCTTGACTCGTTTCTTGCTCAGTGTATGTCCCGTCTGTGGGGAAACCCTGTTGTCTCTGTACCTGAGGGTCTCCCCTCACTGTGGTCGCTTGTGCCACCCCCACTAGGGCCACAGCCTGGCACCATCACCCCTGTTCAGTTCATTAGACGAGGAGGTCCTTGGATTGGGCTCCCTACGCCATGGGGGCCAACCCAGCAACCCCAAATCTAAGCCTCTTAGGCCCCAATGTTATGATCAAAAATGCGAAGGACAGCCAGTCGCCATCAGCCAGCAGCCGGGAGCTCCCGCCGTCCAGTAACCCCTCCTTTGCTTCCTCTTTCTCTGTGAGTTTCCCCCGCGCTCTTGTCCTCCGTGCACACTTCTGGTTTGGTGCTGCCAAATCCAAATCAATATTTGCTCAAATTCTTCATATTTCTTTTAGTTTTTTAAAAAATATATTTCTATTGATTTCAGAGAGGAAGTGGGAGGAGTAGAGAGAGAGAAACATCAATGATGAGAGAGAATCCTGGATCGGCTGCCCCCTGCACGCCCCCTACTGGGGACCGCATCCCGGGCATGTGCCCTTGGCTGGAATCGAACCTGGGACCCTTCAGTCCACAGGCCGACCCTCCATCCACTGAGCCAAACCGGCCAGGGCTCAAACCCTTAATATTCCTCCCGTGCCTCAGTTTACCTTTTAACACCTCTTGCCTGCGTCCGAGCAGTAGTGCCGTAGCTGGCCTCCCCGCGTTGGCCCTTGCCCCGCACACTCAGGCTCCATAGGGCAGCAGTGTCGCCCTGTGAACACACCTGCAGGTCATGGGGGCACCCCACCCCGCACGCACAGAGATGGCCCAGGCAAGCAGCGTGAGGGCTGAGTCCTGGGCCCTGCAGGGGCCTGCCCACCCCCCTGGGTTCCTCCCTCAGGCCACCCGCCCTCCCCCCTTGCTGTCTGTCCCAGCTGCGCTGGCCCCTGTGGTTCCTGCAGCCGGAGTGGCTGCTGCTCAGGGCTTTGCATTCACTGCTCTCGCTGCCCCCCCCACCCCAGTCCAGATGCTCCTACATTTCATTCTCTTCTTTGCTCAGAAGTCACACCTGCAGTGGCGTCTGCCCATTCCTCCTGTGCAGCTTCACACCGGCCAGGAAGCCGCCCTTCCCCTCTGGCCTGTGCTTTGCTTCATGGGTGGAAGGAATTCCTCCCCCCTCTCCCCCGCCCGCCCCCCCTAGACCGAGCTGCTGGAGGGCTCCTGGGATGGCACCTGTCACGTTACAGGCGCAGAAAATCGCGTGGAGCCTGGTCTGTCTGCAGAGCTCGGGTAGCGGCCTCCTTTAAACGTCTAGCGCCCTCTTCTTGGGGCCGCACCCTCACCCGCTCCCTCAGCGGGAAGCCCCTCTGCCTGCAGAGTGTCAGACCAGCTGTGTGTGGGCAGTACGTCCGCGGGGCCCTCCGCTTGGCCTGCGACCACCGCTCTCTCCGGCTTCAGGGACGGAGCTTCCCGTGGAGGAGAGAGAGCGGCTCCTTCCGGGCCCTCGCTTCTTCCCGGTCCCTGTCCCCGCACGTTTGCGAGTGGGAACCGGGAGCCTGGCTGGGAACTGGCCGTCCCTGCGGCACGGACTTCTCGGGCCACGGGGGTCCTCGGGCAGACGCTTCCCCGGGAGGCTGCTGATTGTGTGTGTCCTGAGGCTGGTTCCTGGCGGGCAGGACGCCTGGCCCGTGGCAGTGCTCAGGCCCTTGTGACCCGAGGCCGGGCCCCTGGACCTGACCTGATGGCTTGAGGGTTTCGCTCGGTGTGGCTCGCAGGTGGCCTTCGCGTTTACCTTCCAGAGCCGCGGGCGCGGACGTCAGAGGCCACGCAGCACGGAGCCCGTGTCTCCCCAGAACGCGCTGCTCACAGCTCACTGCCTGTTCCTGACTCTGGGAGCATCGGAGGGCTGGCCTCGCCTTCCACGCGTGCTTTTACCAGGGCCCGGGGGCTACGAGTATTTCCCTTTCTTATCCAAGTTTTTCTTTTAAAATTTGCATCTGTTTTCATTTTCTTATTAAAACGGATTGAGAAAGATTAATTTAACAGAAACGCCAGTGGGGAAATGCAGAGGAGATAGGCGATCGTGAATATTTCAGGGCTCTGTTTTCCAGCCGCCACTGCTGTGCTGACACGGTGGGTCGAGGACAGGCTGCCCGCCGATGGCCACAGTGTGCGGCCTCGGGGCCCCGCTCACCGGGGGACGTAACGTGGACGTTCGGGAAACTGCACACGCGCCAGCCCAGCGAGCAGGACTCCACGCACCAGGCAGGTCCTGTCTCTGAGGACTTCACACCATACTGTTCCGTCTCCAGACCCAACGTGTTGTTACTGGCTTTGACCTTGACCTTTAAAATAACCTGTTCTGCTTATTTAAGTAAAACATGCTCATCATAGAAAACATTTTTGGCAGATTCTCCTAGGTTTTAGGGGCAAAAGTGACCTGTGGGCTTTTAATTCAAGCCAGGATGGTGAAGTCGCGTGGAGGACTGACCGCCCCCCCCCCCCCGCTCCCCCGCCCCCAGCGCTGAGTGAAGATGGAAGCTCATGGGAAATCGGGGTCTAAACTCACCCCCGGCAGGAGGACTCCCCACTTTAGTGTCGTTGGGAAGCAGGTGGCTGCACCTGAGGGGGAGGCAGCCCGAGGTGTCATGAGAATCTGGAGGAAAGCTGTATTTTATCTTAACTATTTAAAAAAATTGTGGCGCCCGGCCGGTGTGGCTCAGTGGTTGAGCGCCGACCAATGAACCAGGAGGTCACGGTTCGATTCCTGGTCAGGGCACATGTCCAGGTTACAGGCCATCCATCAGCGATTCTCTCTCATCATTGATGTTTCTATCTCTCCCTCTCCCTTCCTGTCTGAAATCAATAAAAATAGATATTTAAGATTGTGGAAAATATATATGACATCAGGTTTACCATTGTAACCATTTTCCGTGTACGGGTCGGTGGCACGAGTACTTTCACATAAGTTCTGGTTTCCCCCTGAATTTTATTTCCAGCCAAATTGTCCCACAGACCCAACGAGTATCTCCGGCTGCAAGGCCTTACGAGGCTTCGCCTGCAGGCCCCGCGAGCTCCGTTGATGGGAGGTACGTTCATGTGCAGGCCAGGGTGATCCACCAAAGAGCTTGTGTGCACGTGTGGACACGGGCAACAAGGTGGTGCAGGCCTGGGGCCTGGGGCGGGGACAGGGACGGGCAGAAGGGGTCAGGGGGAAAAGAGGACGAGTCATACTCTCAACAATAAAGACTTAAAATAAATAAATGCGTGTGCAGGCAGCAAACAGAGCAGCTCCAGAGACGAGGAACCCGGGAGGACCGGTCCCGGGAGCTTGCTGGTGCTGCCCAGTGACAGACATAATACAATGCGGGGACCGGTTCGATGCCCTTTGCTCCAGGGAAAGCAGCGTGGACGGGTGAGTGCCGGCCGCACACCAGGAGCTTTGGGGTTCACTTCGTGTCTGTTACAGTTGATCCCGAGAACAGAGGCGTGCGCTCTGGAGAGGGTTAGAGGAGGCAGTGCGCACAGGCATGGCCGCCTGGGGCTGGGCTTCCTGGAGGCGCGGCCCTGTGTTCTGGGGCCCGGTGAGCGGCTGAAGCTGAGTGGAGGGTTGTGATGGGTGGTGTCAGGTTTCCGTGACGGGTGTTCCTGAAGTTCAGGCTGACGCAGGTTTTGATTTGTGACATGGACACATGGACGGGGCCACAGGGGCAGTATTATATGAATATATAATTCATATATTGTGGATCCTAATATATGAATTAACTGTTTCAATACCTTTAAAAGAAGTCAAGGACTAAAGAAAAGAGAAACCACAGGCAAAACATAAGGTGCAGCTTTTTTTTAATTTTTTAAATATATTTTATTGATTTCAGAGAGGAAGGGAGAGGGAGAGATAGAAGCATCAATGATGAGAGAGAATCATTGATAAGCTGACTCTTGCACGCCCCCCACTAGGGACTGAGCCCGCAACCTAGGCATGTGCCCTTGACCAGAATCAAACTCAAGACCCTTCAGTCCACAGGCCGATGCTCTATCTACTGAGCCACACCAGCCAGGGCCAGAGGTGCAGCTTTGAAACCAGCAGAAGAAAAGCGATCCAGCCGATCAAAAATACAACAAGGGGTGGAGGTGGGGGAAGGAAATAAAAAGCAAGTATATTAACTGCAAAATATGAAAAAAGTGCCCAGAGTGTAGCATGACTGTAGTTACAGTGTACATGACTGACTATCCATGGTAACGAGAAATTCTCAGACTGGCTAGGAGAACAAGATGCAAAAGTGAGTTATCTCGAAGAAACAAAAAACAAACAAAAAAAGGCCGGGAAAGGTTGAAAATAAAAGGATAGGAAAGAGATCTACTACTCAGAATGAACCAAGAGAAAACAGCGGTAACGAACAGGAAGTATATTCCGGGGAGAAGGAGGGTGTGACGTGGTGATGAAAGGAACGCTGGAACAAGAAAGTGTAGTCATCAAAACGCAGCCCGAGACGCGCAGCGGCACTCGGCAGAGCTGCAGGGCGCCCGGGTCTCAGCTGCGTTTGAAGGTTCTAGCACTTTCTCAGAAACTGGGAGCCTTGCCCTCAGAAACAAGCAGCTGTGGACAAGACCGAACAGCACAGTTACAAGCTGGAGCTGCTAGCGCTGTGTCTAAAACTGGGCGCCACAGAGAATGTGCATTTCTGAGTTTATGGGGGATGGTAATAAAAGTGAACCATGTATCACGCCATAGGAAGCCTGGATGATTTCCCAAGAATGAAAGTCATACCAGTTAGGTCTCAGTAGTGAGCAATGTAATAAGACATTACTAACAAAAGATAGCCCCCCCCCCCAAAGAATTCCTCATAGTTATAGATTAAATCACATATTTCTAAATAGCCGTTGGGTTAAAAAGGAAATAAAAATGAAATTTCGATATATTTAGAACTGAAAGAGAATGAAAACTCTGCATGTTGGAATTGTGGGATATAGTTTAACTAGTACTTAAAGGGATTTGTCATCTTAAATACATTTCTCAGTAAGCAAGAAAGGTTACAAACACGAGCCAAGTTCAACTCAGAAGTTGATAAAAAAAAGAAAAAAAAGGAACAACAAAACAAACCCAAGGAAACAATGAAGGTAGATATTGAAAGCAATAAAGCACAGAATTATAATGACACTAATTGATAGAGAAGGTTAAGAAAATCAGAAGCTGGTTCTTTGAAAGATAAATAAGACAATGTCAAAATTGTCACCAGAAGAAATAGAGAACAGGACGCGGCCCACATATGACTAGACGCTCCACGGGGATCATCACAGAACTTCTGTCCCAAACTTTCCAGGGAGAGTTTTGTGGGTGATTCCTGGTAAACGTGTAAGAAACAATCACTTCTTATCTTTTACAAGCTGATCCAGAAAATAGAAGATGGAGAGAAAGGTGCCAGCTCACTTTCTACAGCGATTGAAACCATTATCAAAATGAATGCAGGCAACACTGGACAGTAAGGAGGAAGGAAAAATATGTGTATCTCAAACAGTGCAGCAAAAGCACTTGGTAGAGTTCAACACCTACCTAGGATTTTAAACACACACACATGTAACATAGAAGGAATGGAAGGGACCTTCCTGTAGGTTACATACCAAAAACTATATCAAAGATTATAGTTAACATGCCCTGGCCGTTTTGGCTCAGTGGATAGAGCATCAGCCCGCAGACGAAAGGGTCCCGGGTTCGATTCTGTATCAAGAGCATGTACCTCGATTGCATGCTCAATCTGCCCTGGTGAGGGCACGTGCAGGAGGCAATCAATCGATGTGTTTCTCTCACATCGATGTTTCTCTCTCTGTGTCTCTCCACTTCCCTTCCACTCTCTCTAAAAATCAATGGGAAAATATCCTTGGGTGAGGATCAACCCCCCCCAAAATTTTTTTTTAAATTTTATACTGAACAGCGAAGGTGTAGATACATTCCCTGTACTACACAGAAGAAGACAAGCATACTGTGGTCAGTCCCAGGTTAGCACAGGAAGCAACAGACCAGGTTTTCAAGAGGAAAGAGATACCACGCGGTGGGTCAGATAGAAAGCTGTCGGAAGGGGCAGTTTGGGGGGACAGACTTCAAGATCACACGGCTGTAGTCACAGTCCAGGGGGCAGGGATTGCTGCCCTCTCCTTTCATTAACATTTGCTTTTCACCTCCGAAAGCTGGTCGCTAGCCACTAGATTGCAGACTCTGGCCCCACAAACACGTCTCCAGCCTTGCTTTCCACTGTCCCCTGGGGCAGGCGAACGGCCTCTACATTATCTTTCTTTTTTAAAATATATTTTTATTGATTTCAGAGAGGCAGGGAGAGGGGGAGAGATAGAATCGTCAATGGTGAGAGAGAATCATTGATCGGCTGCCTCCTGCACACCCCACACTGGGGATCGAGCCAGCAACCCAGGCACATGCCCTGACAGGAAGCGAACCATGACCTTCTGGTTCAGCCCCTGAGCCACGCCGGCGGAGCCATGCCCTTCCTTTTCCATCGCTCAGAGAGTGTGTCTAGATGACAGATCTCAGGTTGCATCCAGAACCTTAGCTGTGAAGGAGTCTGAGAACTGCAGTCCTTAGATTTCAGACTGAGCCAGAGGCAGGGAGGGAGAAATGGAGTTTGAGAGATTCAGTCAAAGTACCCACCACACCTGCCCACCGTCTCTGCTGCTCTCAGCGTGGCCTTGATGTCCAGGCGGGGGCTGCGGAGGAAGCACGGGAGGTGAGGACGGAGCCTGGGCAGGAATGGTCACTATTCGCTGTTCGCGGACAGTGTGGTCATCCCCGCCAGCAGGAGGTACTGACGGCCGGAACTAATCAGGACGGGGACATTGCTGTATGTAGGATCAGTCTGTGAGAGTCAGTGTGATTTATCTATGCTGGTAATACCCAATTAAAAACGTCATAAAACATAAGATACCACTCATCGTAATAACAGAAATTGCGGTATCTGTGAATTAAGAAGTACAATATCTCTTTAGAGAAAAATGTTAAACTCTAATAAAAGACAAAGATTATGTGAGTGACTAGAGACTTTTTATTCTCTTAGAGGTAGTATTAGGAAGGCGTCATTTCTTTCTAAATTAATCTTCAAATTCAGTTTAGTCTCTTTCAAAGTGTTACTTGTATGTTTGTAAGGACTTGATAAACTGAACCAAAGCATAAAGCAGTAGGGAACGTGGGTGGTTGGATGGAGCCGTGGGTGTCTGTGACGTGAAGGCATCCTCACTCGGGGATGGGTGACAGATGGGAGGTGATGTGTGCAGTGTCCAGAACTTGTCAGAGATGATAGCAAATCAGTGTCTAAAACCGCCAGAAACTCCTGCAAAGCAATAAGGGGTAGCGATCCCAACAGACACACGAGAAAGAGATAGGAGCACACACTTCACCAGAGTGGACCCCAAAGGCTGGCCAGCACGTGAGGAAATCATCCAATGAGCAGCAACCAGAGAAATGAGAACTGATAGGCGGCGTGGCGATCGCTGTTAGACTGGTGATCGTTAGAACGCTGACGAGCGCAGTGGGTGAGGGGAGTATGGCGTTCTCGCTTGTGGTGGGACGCGGAAGCCTGCGGCTGCATCGGGGACAGTCTGGCGTCCCTCATCACATCGGGAACACTCTCTGTGGCCCCACATTTATTCTCCTGAGTGTGTGTAAACGCCACGGACGTCGTCCATAACTGAGTAAGCGGCACGGCGCCGTTCTCTCTGGAGAGAGGCAGGAGGCTTGGGCCGTTCTGGGAGAGCAGGGGGGAGGACATGGAGGCCACACACGTGTTGCGATCGGAAGCACATGGTGTGGCAGATGTGACAAGACGAAGGCGGCGAGGCAAGGGAAGCAGCAGGATGAGATGAGTAGCGTCACCCATCATGCACTTGAATTACAAGTACATGCACACAGGACAGTATGTGGTTTGAAGAGCGCGTCCCAATCAGAAGAGACCACAGAGCACAGGGCTGCTGCCTTGGGCAGGGCTGTGGGGCGAGTATCGGGAATGGGTTTAAGAGCGAATGTATCCATCCATCCATCCGTCCATCCATCCACACATACAACCAGCGGGGGCTTTGCATGGCCATT